ATATTGGATCAAACACTCTTCTCCTGCTTTCCTCCAAAACACACATTCCTTGGCCATCTCCTGCCAGTCTTAATGCTGCATCTTAGGCATCAACTACTCCAGAATACCTTTTTCTACCCTCCCCCCACACACATACACATTCAGGACTCTTTCTTTGTAGATGTTACATTGTACCCTGAAATTCCTCAATTATAGCAGCTTCTTTCTGTCAACAAATATGTGCCGCATGCCTTTTTGTGTCCAACGCATTGTGCTGGGGACTCATCACACCAACATATTGCTTACTTATTTGCCTGTGTCACCAACAGGATGGCATGCTCCATGAGGGCTGTGACAGTGACTGTTTCACAATTGCATTGTTTCAGTAGCCAGTATTGTTCCTGCGTTATGGTAGATTCTCAAAAATATGGTGGATTCTCAAAAAATATTTGTTGGTTGACTAGCCGGCTGGCTGGATATTAAGATGGAGGGATAAGTTGGCAAGTTGGGTCTCTGGTTCCACATCTTGTGCCTTTGCGAGTGCACCATGCTCCTGTGGGCTCAGAAAGCTAGTGTCACTGTGACAGACCTTGCGACATCCCGCAGGGAGCAGCAGCTCTTCCCAGCGGGTGCAGCACTTCCTATCCCTGCCTGCTCCACTGTCTCTATCTCATGTCTCCCCGTCGAAGTCTCAACCCTGAAAGATGTTAGTCCTTCTCGTTAGGAAGGCTCAAAAAGTGACTTAGGGTGAAATTTATCTGAAGGATGAGGCTGGGTCAGGAAGAGCTGACTTATTTGGCGAGGATTTAGCAGGCCATGGAGGACACTGGACTCCAGGTGTTGGTAAATAGAAGCCCCTTTTAGCAGAAGAGCAGCAGGCTTTTCCTCCTCTTTCATTATGATGATGATTATTATTTTTGTGGTTCCCATGGAAACAACCAGAGTGAGAGAACAAAAAAGTCAGGGAGGTTAGAGTGATGAGACGGCCCCCATATGCTTAAGAAGACTGTGCGCGCCAGTGTGTGTGTCCGCGTGTGTGCGAGTGCACTGCCTTCCCTTTATTCTGCAGCGCTGCTGGGTCAGGGGAAATTGTGATGTTTATTCGCGGCATTTGTTACAATCGGGCTCAACAAGGAGACAACTATCAGCTCTTAGCAATTAGGGAGTCTTTGTAATGACAGCTCCATCAGATTAATCGCAGGGGGAGGGAAGACGGAGATGGAGACATTCTGCGTGTGGCCAGGGAGTGTCAGAGAAGAGACAACTCAGACATGGAGGCGCGCGTGGCTCGGTGCTGCCTCCTCTTCTCATCAGAGGGGCCACTCCCGTGCCTCCCGTGTGGCTGCAACGGGCACGTGAAAGGCAGCTGCCACGGGTCTGAGAATCCTTGAGCTCTTCATCTACTGCTCTCACTGTCACTTCTCCCGCCTTTCTGTCTTTTCCCCTAATTTGGGAGTTGGAAGAAAAGCCAGCCTAGGGCACCTTGTCAGGATGGTCAGGCAGGTGTTAACACCTTGACCACCAAGAGCGAGTCACGGGAACCTTTCTTTCCGAAGGAACTTTTCCGTCCACTGTGTCCACTGTGGCTCTGGAGGGACTGACTGGCTGCTGCTTTCATGTCCTTTGTGGCCACGATGTTCAGGAAGCACCAGGCTCCAGGGGCACCTCAACCACCAAAGCCATAGGAAGAAACAGACTTGAAACCCCTGCATCGAGAAGGAATCCATTCTCATTGGCTTTTGAGTAGAGGACACAAAAGACAAGGACCAGAGAAGGCACCCGTGACAAAGGGTGTTTATTTCAATGTGTTCCCTCTTCACTAGTGCGCACCTGCCCCGGGAGGGATCAGACTTCCTTTCCTAGCCACCCCTGTGTCTAGGTGTGGCTGGTGTCCAGCCGTCACCCGTGTGGTTATGGGTGCCACTTCTAGACTTTCCACCAGCTGTGTATCAACACCTTACAGGACACATGTTACAAAGGGAAGAAACCCCAAGCCCTGAGCACTGAAGGACTGCCCAGAGCGAGCCCACCCCACCCTCGCCCCACGTAATGGCCAGGAACACCCACGCTGCGCTACACCTGAGCCTCAAAGACTCTCCTCGTGTGTTTGACACTGACGCTTTTGAGTTTATTAGTTACAGCCATCCTAACTGGCACAGCATCCCCCTGTGCTGGGAGAGGGTGGGATGTCACCTCCTACCCTAGCCCATTGCCCTGAGGCCTGAGATCTGCCATGGCTCCTCTGTGAGCAGGTGCCGCGGAGCCTGCGTGCGGGTTCTGCCCCATCGGCCGTCCTTCCTTTCCATCAGCACCACCGCCATCGACTTGGCCCCCCATACTTTTTAGCCTTGTTTCTGAATAATTTTTTTCTTCCTATCTTTCTGACCAGCAACCTTTGATTGCTAGGAGCAGCTCAGTTTCACATTACTAGAGTAACAGAGTGTGTTGTAATTGGCCGAGAATCGGTCTTGAAATGTCAAGGAAAAATTTATTTCCTGGTGCCACCTCTCTAGGTGCTAATTTTGCTATAGGCTGCTGCATAATGGTTCCCGCTCACAATGGGCGAGAGTTCCTAATCAGAATACAGGGCTGTAATTGGGTTGAAGGGATTTTAAATCATTAAAGTTGCATTTAGAATGGGGAATAGAAATAGAACCCCAAGATTGAATGACTCACTTAGTATTTAATGAGGGAGTCATGGAGTATTACTTATAATATTCTCTTAATGACCTTACAAGCAATGTAACTCCCCCGCCCTCCAGGGCCTATTCGCAAGGCACAATTCTGCCGTCTCAGACCCACCACTCTGGAGCAATTAATTACTGCCCCATCAAGGAGCAATCAGGCTCTGCTCGGCCAGCAGAAGCACTGATTTCTTTCCCCACTGTCTCCTCACTCTTCATCTTCCTGCCTGCCTCCTCCTCAGGCCTGCCGGGAGGGAAGTCGACATTTACCAAGCCATAAATCATCATGCAGTTTTTGGAAAGCCCAGCTTACCATGAGCGCAACAGGGTGACAACGAGTACCTTTGGAGGGTGTGGCAGGAGGCGGTGTCAGGAGGCTGTTGTGCAGGCTCTAGGAGTGCAGCATCTTCAGGGCTCGGAGGACATTCTCTGGTGCTTCCATCTGGGCTGGAATGTGCCAGTTTGTCTAAGCTCAATGGCTAGTTTAGTTTTTTATGGCTGGGTCTCCATGATACTAGGTAAACACACTACCAACCACTAGAATTAGAGAGCAGATAGTAGAATGGGAAAAAACAGAATATCGAGTCCTATGGATCAGGCTCTGCCTGTTGTGAGTAATGAGGTCTTGAGCATGTGACTAAGTGTCTGGCACACAGTAGACACTAAATGGTAGTTTCCCTTGATATCATTGTGACCAAGGGTCACTAACCCCAGCTCAGTAAAGTTGTTTCAGGTTGAGCATTTATTTGGGACTTCATTTCCAGGTAGACCTGCAAGGCCAATGCTCCTGTAATTGGAATTCCTCAGAATTAGGTCATGGACAGGCTACTAAAGGCATGAGTACCTGTTCCTTCTGCAGGTTCAGAAATGGCCCATCCCTCTGGAGGGAGCATTGAGTGTTGTGTGCATGCTGGTTGCTTCATTGCTAAAGGACCCTCCTGCTGGGCACACACAGTTTGGAAATGTGATCTCTTGTAGAGTGACCTGGCTGAGTAGCATTGGAGTCATGGCAGGCCACTGATCCCGAGTCTGCCTCATTTGGCCATGGCTTCCATGTCAGGGTGAATGCTGGGGACACTTGTGTCGTATTGCCCTGGTGGCCAGGATGCCCCTAGACCAATGGCTTGTGTTTCTAATTCTCATCAGGGAATGTCACTTGTTCCACCCTAAGTCAGGCTCTTAGAGAAACAACTTTTGTCTCTCATAGTACTTAAAAAAAAAAAAGTCTGCAAGTTTCTTTTATGATACCTCAGTTGTAATTGCTATAGTCTTACCATAAAAATTGAGACATCACGATGAGTTAATAACACTTACATGGCCTCCCAATTAGGCCAGTCTGGAAATGTTGTCTGTTTGAGAATGTTTATGAACATAATAGCCTAGAACATAGGAGAGACTTCATAAACACTCATGAGAAGAATGAGTAAATGCATGACAGGCTTTTCTCTTTAAAAATTTTAGTCTTATATGCTTCAATGGAGTAATTGTGGTGAGGCCCTTCTTCCATGAAGGACCAAGAGGGAAAAGGGTCTAGAATTTGTTGAGTTCCTCCTATGGGGCAGATAGTAGACTGGTCATTGTACAGAAATGAACTCATTTGCTCTGCCCATTTTGCAACTGAGTCAAATCTTACACAGCCACACAGACTTGGTGATAAACTAGAATTTTCCCTCTACCAGTTCTGTCTTTGTCTAATTAATGCAAATAAATATGTGTGGCAAGTATTTTGTTTTAATATTTATTGTATTTAGTATCCATTGATCCTACTGCATCATGATTTGGAAAGTTAAAATATCTAGAACATTTTTTAATTATGAGGTGTTGACTGATGTAAATTTAGTAACTATGAAAGTATCAGTAGTCATATCATTAGTTTATTAGTAACTAATGATGGTAATGCCCACTTTATACAAATCAAAACCAAAACAATGTAACTTTGTGCATGAAAGAACATGCTGTACTTTATATAATTAGTCTCTTCCCTCCAAAATTGTGACTCATTTATAATAAATTTAATAGATGTCTTAAATGTGAAAAGGTGATCCATTATTTTAAAGACTCCTACAGAGAATCTTTTGTGTAAAGAATCTTTGGTACTACAGCCATCTCTGTTAATTCATCCACTTTGAAACTTCCAATGTCTCTGCTTCTCTTGTAAGGAGGGCCACCTCTGTGCATTGCGAAATGGGCTATTAAAAAATCCCCTGTGGGTTACAGTTGTTACTTACTCAGATTCTAGAATGCCTGAGACTTAGGCTCCATCCTAGTTGCTCCCAGATGGTAACTTTAATGCCATTACTTTGTCTTTGTCTTTTCAATCTTCAATTTCAATTCCAGGCAAGTCTGTCTGCTGGTTCATAGGGCACCTTTTAAGAAGTGGGAAACCTGCCCCTTGTGGGCAAATACAGCTCTGCAAGTGCAAGGCGTGGGGGACCTACAGCATCTTCCCATGAATTCCATCAAGGAATGAAGTCCCAACTCTTTAGCGAGCAAGGAGTTCTACAGCCTCCCATGGCCGCGGGCACCCTTGTGCACTGGACAACCCATGCAACCTCATACACATCAGGCTGGCTCTCCTGCAACCTGGACTGTTTTTGATCACAGCCAGAGCAATGTCCAAGTAATCTGCCAAATATTTGTGAAAACATTATATTCGTGTTTAACTGGGGACAATAGTTTTGTCTTCTTCATAAAGCAGCAAATCCCCAGGAGCTGGTCAGGAGCACCAGCTGTTTACTGCCTGCAGAAGCTGCTGCTTATCTCCTTGTAACCACCTGCCTCTCAGAGATCATGTCTTAATTAACTCAGTGTTATCGAAACTGAAATTGTAGCAACATTGTAAGATCAAATTGTAAATGAAAGATAAAGGGGAAAGAACTCTGCTGACCAGGGAGCAGCAAGCTTGCTCTGGAGCTGCAGCTAGTTGGCTCCAGGCTGATTGGTGGCAGCAGCTGAGATTTACAATAATAAAATCATGCATTGTTCCACGTGGAAGGTGTCTTGGAGGTCTTCTAAGCCAGTGGTGTTCAAGTATTTTTTATCTCATGACATACAACTTATTCTTCTCATGTTCAATATATGCTGATCTTTTCTATTCTGTCTTATTTATTTCATTTTAGAAATTACTGGCTAAAAAATCATTCAGTTGATTTCATGACCTACTACACATTCACAACATGAAGATTGGGAAACAGTGGTCTAGTTGAATTCCTGAGTTTTAAAGTTAGGGACTGAGGTACAAAGAGGTGAAGTGACTTGCCCCTGGGTAGGTTATCAGTGGCTATTGTATGTAAACCCTTGTCTACTGACTTTTTCCCAGCAGTTCTGTGCCCTGAAATCTACCAAATCCTGCCACTGCAGGGCAGCTCCAACAAGAAAAACGATTCATAGCCTAAGAAATAAGACTTCTCAAGACGTTGCTACTTTCAGGATAAGAGCTGAGCGTCCCTGTAATACACAGGTAGGCAGGCTCTTTCTCACATAAAAAGTGTCAGTAGCAACTGTGACTTCGAACACCGCTCTGCATTCCGATAATTGAACAGTAGGGGGCACCATAGCACCCGGTCTTTTGTGCCTCCTTAAAACCTTCAAACCCATGTCCCACCCCATCCCTTCCTTTCTCTTGACCTGCACCCCAGATTGCATCTGCTAGATCAGTTTCTACTCATCTCATCTTGAGCCACTCTTCTGAGCCACTGAACTAAAATAGTAAATTAAACAGGCATTCTCATGGGACATTTCTTATTTTTTCTGCCTGTGTTTGTGTATTTTTAAAGTATTGAAAGAAGTTTTCCAAGTGAAAGCTATCTGGTAGAGAACCACACCCATCTACGGTGGCTATCACTCTTTGAAGCAGTCTATGGACCAAAACAGAGTTTGTTTAGTACCTTTGTATGACAATGATTGACTTCATTGATAACATATGCACTCGGGGTTGTTTTCCCAGCCTGGGGATTGATTCAGAGGGTAGTTAGCACCCACAATGGTCCGGCCACAGGCAGACAAGGAATCAAGGTGGGGGTGCACGGGCCCACGTGGTAGATGGCAGATTGAGTCTGTGTCCGGCGGGCCCCCTTTGAGCTTCACCCACTAGCACAGGCTTCTGTGACGATCGAATTACAAGATACAGAATGAGGGCGGGGGCTGCGGGCGATGTCTGTTAACTCCTGGCGAGTCCACTGCTTCATCGCCGTTTGCCCCCGGCACGTGGGCACAAACTCACTTGAACGGCTGCATCCCGGAAGCACAGCCCTCTACAGCAAGCTGCTCTCAGCTGTTGCTTTCTTCCCTTCTGGCTGAGGGAATCCCTCCTTTCTTTCCTCTGAATGTTCACTACCAGCCCCCCACCCCCTCGAATACTCAGCACTGAGCTGTGTTGAGATAGGTGAGGTGGCTATCAGCTGTGATTTAATGACGAGTATCACTGTCAGATTTTACAAAACAGAATTTCATCAGATGGTGAAGGGAAGCTTCTGCGCAGAAACTACAGAGGGAGATTTGACAGCTTTTTCAATTCAGTTATCAAAGCATTTGCAGTTCAAAGCAGGTGAAACAATAATGTAATCTTAGCACTGAATGCTCATTTGTATCTGAGTGTTTCAATAAATAAAATGGTCAGGGAAATGAAAGCAGACCTGTTGTCTCCAATCCACTAAATTTAATATCCAGGGTATTGACTGACAGCTTTTTATCACCATAATTAGTATGGATTGTTCCTGAGGCCATTGATCAATCTTCCCTACCTCTATGGACTCGAGTTGCTGTTTTCTTCCTCTCCTGCCCCCCCCCCTTTATTTTAATATTGATCTTGCCAGTTGTGTTCCACCGCAGAGAGGAAGCTCACTTAGACAAAAGAAAACTCAGGATGACAAGAGATGACTGAGCAGCAGCCATTTCTAAGTGGCATCCACCTGTGACGTTGCTCTGACCCATCCATGTGACCTTGGGACTTGATCCTTGGTGCCAGTGACCTTCAGCTCCTCAGTACTGTCACCAGGCACAGTGTCTTCCCCACTGGGTGGATGCTACTCAGAGACAAGCCATAGAGCCAATGGTCAGTAAATAGCTACCAAATCAATGACTCTCTCTTCTTTAATGTCATCGAGCTAAATAGAAGAGTGTGGAAGCACTGATGAGTTCAGTCGTGTGCGTGTGTGTGTGTTTGTATGTTTGATTATGTATGGCTGTGATGTAACCTATTCCACATAGTGCAGGCCAGAAACCTGAGACCTTCTTATTTCTTATTTCTCACCAAGTTCTTCCAATTCAATATTGTCCTCTTCTCAGCCTTTCTCTCTGTCACCAGGGATATACAGTACATACGTACATTCCTCACTATCTCTTGCCTTAACTATTGCAATAATTCACTCTCTCATTCCCCTGCCTCCTGCTCTGTCTTGCTTGACCCCGGCCTCCCATCCTCAGGTCCTCCACACAGATGACGACGGTTTACATGGAAGGCACACTCTCACGGTACCACCTGGTGTTTCACATCCAGGCTCCTTGCTGTAGCAAATAAAGCTTGTTGGAAGCCTCCTCCCTGCCGCTCAGCCTCATTTCCCCCACCCCTACTGGTACAGCACACTCCAGGAAGACAAAACTGCCAACAGTGCCGCCTATTTTGTCAGCTGCCTCACACTAAGTCTTTGCTCATTCTTGACTTCACCTGTGATAGCCTTTCCATCCCTTGACTTCTCTTTCCCCTCCCTCAGTATTTGCTCAGATGGCATTTCTTTCACAAAGCAGTCTTTTCACCCCCAGAGCACCCTGATTATGTCTTTCTCTCTCTTCTTAGATTTTACACTTTCTTTTTACGCGCCTCTATTTCCTACTAGAGGGTAAACCCATTGGAGACAGGGGCTGTGTGTGTGTGTGTGTGTGTGTGTGTGTGTGTGTTTCTCTGTTCTGTCCACACTGCAAGACACAACTCTTGGCAGCTCGGCTGTGTTTGTTGTACTAGGAAGAAGTATTCCTAAGAGAATCAGTGAATCCCAGTAGCTGGGGCATCCTTTATGTCGAAGTGGATGTGTCATGGTGCATGCCACATGCCATGCCCTAGAGCCGTGCCACATATAATAACTAGGTAGAGTCTCACTTATTCTCAGAGTGGGGAGAAGAAATGGGAAAATGTCCTTTATGCAGATAAGGAGGTAGCAAGGTATCTTTCTCTGACCTTAAAGAATTCAGGTGGTGTAGACTGGTCACATTCCATAGTATGGAAGAGTTTTGTAACCTACACACTGAAATGAAATTTTCTCACTGGTCTTCCTAATGGAATTCCACTCTGCCCCACTTGGTGGTAAAAATCACACCATCAGCATACATTTTCTGAAGGACATTTCCGAAGCAGAGTGAATGCTATGCATTTCCAGAAGTGCTGTGGAGCCCAGCGTAACTGAAAAGAGCCCCCAACCCCCAGGGCTGAGGGCCAAGTGGAGCCTGACTTCCGGCATCCCTGGCCCTACAGCCTGCCCCTGAGGTTACAGGTGTTCGCAGACACCACGTGCCTCTTGTTGAGGCATTAAACCAAGTACAACTCTTCTGAACTAAGCACAACAGAGCCAAATTGGACTGGAAAGGCCACAAGTTCCTCAGGGCCCCCGGGGAGCCTGTGGCATCTACAATGCAAATTGGCCCCATAGAAAAGCAGCCGGAGCCAGGGCCAGCCTTCAGTTGTCCCCATCATGCCTGTTGTGGAAGCGCAGTGGCAGATGTTTCTGGAGGTGACCCCCTGGATGCACACAGGCGCAGGCAGCACCTCCTCCTCACCAGCCTCTCTCCAGGCTTATATAAGACAGATTTGACAGACTGATACCAATTGGCACATCTTCCCTGCCAGATTGGAATCGGGCCCTTCTACCGTCTTTGGGGTCCGTTGCGGCTCCAAGTAAAGCGTACAGAAGGAATGTGATGCTTAGCTACACAGCCAGCTTTCCCTTTGCTGCCGTGCTAGCACTTCTAATCTTGGGCACTTGGTTGCTGTGCGGCCCATCGCTACAAGTGCAGTCTCCAGCTTGGGAACTTTGATATTTGCAGGCATGTGAAAATGCCTTTCGTGTGCCTACAGTTGGTCTGGTTAATTTATTTGTTTTCTTTTTTAAAGCAAAACTCTTACGTGTGCTTCAGGTTGTATTGTTATATTCCTCCTAACTCGATCGAGTGTGGCTGGAATGGGTACCAATAATGAAGAAAGACACTCACCTACTATCTTTTCTTATCTGAGATTTCTGCAGCTTTTGCATGCAGATGCTTTAGTTTAAAAGGGATTTCAGTTATCTTATTTTGCCTCCTGGGTCCATGTCTTGACTGTACCACTCACTGGCTGTGAATTTAGGCAAGCCACTTAGTTTTTCTGAAATTTCATTTCCTCATCTCTGAAGTTCTTTCCAGATTGGCTTGAGGGTTAAACGAGGTGACATGGATGAAACAGCCAAGCAAGGAGCCTGACACATAGCAGAGGTTCAGTAAATGCCTTTACCTTCCCTCTCTGTCCCTTCATATGGTCTTCCCAGACCCAGAGTCCGTAGGACCTTTGAACTTCCAAAAGCCTATTAGTAGTATAGCTCATTTTATGTTATGCATATCACATGCACACCTGTATATGCATATTGCTTATGAAGGTGTGTGAGAATATATACCGAAATATTTATAATAGATATTTCTGTATGGGGAGATTATAGGGTAACCTTCCTTCATTCCTTCCACCCTTTTTTTCTTTCCCTCCTTCCTGTTCATCTATATTTTTTGCCTATAATGGGTATATTATAAAATAGTAAAGGATACAAAAATACTATAGTTCTTTAAAAATTGATTTCATGGGAAGCCAAACGAAGAAGACAGCCTCGAAGTTAAACAGGGAAGCCCAGCTGTGTCCTGTTTTTCACTGCGTCCCACTGCTAGCATGAGGAAAGATCAAGCTCACGGTGTGCAGCTGACCACTTGTCTGACTTAGATTCCTGCCACCTTCCTCCCAGTGTGTGGAAGGATTCACTCAAGGCTCCGACAGAGCACAGCTGATGTAGCACGATTTGGGACCGGAAGTCTGAGCACAACTTAAGGTGCAATGCCATTTCCTGACACTGTGCCCTGCTTATGAGGATGGATAGACTTGGAACATATTAATAGAATACTCCCTAGTGGAGGGAACACTGTATGTTCAGAATAAATAAGTGTGTCTGCTTATCAATTTAATAGTACAGTTAGACCAGGAACCCCTTTGTATTAGTGCAGAAAAGAGAGCTATTAAAATTCCTCTATGAGGAGAGAAATCAAAAGAAAGAGAACAGGAACATAGTAAGCAGAGGGCCACTAGGAAGTGGAAGAAGAGAGAAGAGACAGGAGGATGGAGCCAGTGGAAGGCTGTAGGAAGAAAGGAGAGTGGGAAGAGGAAACCAGGGTGCTCAGCAGGGAAGCTGTGATCCTAAGTTTCCAGGGTCAGCATAAAACTCAGGGCACGGCTGCCACCAGACCACATGGCTAATTGTCCCTAATTGTCATGAGCTGACTCTTCTGGGCTGAGGGTTGCAGGCAGTTTCTCTGGTTGGCTGGCTGGCACAGCAGGTTTCTGTCATCCAGCAGCCCTGATGGGTTGGCCACCAAGTGCTGAGCTGATTGCTTCATGCTGGGGGACTCTGGCTTGGGGCCCACCTTCATTCTACCCATTTTTTCCTTTTTAACTTAAAGATTTTTCCAGCCCTAGGAAGAGGGTGCATTCTAGGTGGCACTTGTGCATGCTTTGAAGGAAGGTAGGGATGGAGCACCTTGTAACTCCGTGCACCAGCCTGCCAAGTCCCTGCCGTAAACCCGGCCACTGCTTGGCAAGGGAATCTGAAAATGGAGTCAGTTGAGGGTGGCCTGAGAGTGTGTGCTCTGTGACTACCAGGGTGGATGCTGGTGTGTAATAAGTCAGTGAAATAGTGAAGTTCAATTACTTACATGTTCCCTGAAGCTGAAACAATTGCCATTATCCCACATAATATTGCTTGACCTACATTTTTACTTGAAAGCCTTCAGCTAACAATTAGTTTGAATGCTGAGTTATAAAAGAACACATTCATATTCCAGAAATGAAAGGGGGTAGGGGAGCGAGACCAACAGTGCTCTCTCTCTTCCTGCCCCCTTTTTCTTTTGCCTCCTGTGTGGTAACTTTTCCAAGATGGCGGTCACCGGAGAGTCCGTCTAGGGGGGACTGTTCAGAAGTAATGAGGCAACTGGGCATTATCCGGAAAGGACGGCGTCAGCGGTGCCAGGGAGAGTTGAGCCATCTGGATTAAAAGGGTCAAACTATCCGCTGGCAGCAATTAAGCAGCTCCGTGTGGAGAAGCCACGTGATCCGCCAGAGGCGCTGCCAAGAACAGGAGATTAGTAAACAAAAGTACCCGCCAGAAGGTGTCCAGGTTGGTCACTGCTCCGGCCACTTGGCATTTGCACCGCATCCTCTCTCTCTGGCGTCCCATCTGTCCCTACCCACAGCCCACCTACAAGCTATCTGTAGAGTTTAAACAAACTCAGGCAGAGCCGAGTTTGTTTAAAATGTTCAGAGTCCAGAGCCGAGTGAACTGTGATGGTAAATCTTAGACATCTGCAACGTCCTTTCCCAAATGTGCTGGCGGTGCCTCGATGTTTCTCACGACTCCTCACTGCTTCGCTCTGACAAGCCGAGAGGTTGCCGCAGTTGAGCGCTGACGCTTAGTTCCCCGATGGTGACTGCGCTACTTTACCCGCAGCTGTCGCCGCTCGGCGAGGAAGCCTGTGCCCAGGTTATTTCAGCACAGGTCTTTGTGGAGGCCTGAGAATAAACCGAGTGGCTTTCTGAGTTCTCCTTTTAATCTGGGAATCTTACATTAAAAAAAAAAAAATCCACAAAAGGCAGGTAGGTAGAACCCCCAAATGGATCCATTTGTTCATTCAACAACTGTTTATTTGCCAGGCACTGTTATTAGTCCCTGTGGCTAAAATAGTGACCCATTCTCATGCATGTCACTTCTTTCTGAAAAGAAAGATGCACAGGCCCCACCCCTGCGTGGAGTCCTCTTCTGATTGCCGGTGAAGTCAGTTCACATAACTCCAGACTAAAATCCCGCAAGGATTTGTAACACCGGAGGCTTTCCTGCCCTCTGCACAGCACCGGTGTAAAATGGTAGTTGAAGTAAAAGATCTGTGCTTTATCCACGTGAGTTAGAGGCAGCTTACGGGGCAAACACCTACGACAGGAATAATCTGTGATACTCCTTGCTCCTGATTTTCCTAGTTTCTGTGAGGTATTAACCCCTTGTTTTCTTTGTCCTACTCTCTGGGCTCATCTTGGTCCCCTACACCTGGGGCTGTGACTGGTACCAGTCCTCAGCCTGTTAGGGACCCGGCTGCAGAGCTCCACCCCCACAGTAAGAATGTTCATACTTAACTATGAATGCAAAGGGTTATTCCAACAGGCCATTGTATGTTCCTGTCTCCAACAGAATTGTTGATTCTTCTACCTTTAATTGTGGCTGTTCGTTAGCACGCTGTCCTTCACACCAAAACTGCAGAATTCACACCTTGCCATCTCCCCGGCTGTCCCCATTGTTTCGAATCCATTCACATTGTTTGAATGTACTCCCAAAATATATCCCCACTCCATACTTTTATCTTTATTTCTACAGCCTTTAGTTCAATCCACTGTCATCAAAAACGACAATAGCTACATGAGCTTCCTAACTGGCCTCTCCGTTACCTTGATTTTCCCTTTACACTCCACTCTCCAGAAAGAAGTCAAAGATATCTTTTTAAAACATGAATCGTATATCACATTGCTCTCCTGCTTAGAACCTTTCAGCCGAATGTCACGCTTAAAATCCAGTCTCCTTACCGAGGTGTCAAGACCTACAAGATCTGGCCCCCCCCCTTCCTCTCTGACCTCGACGTCCACAGTACCCCACGGGCCACTTGGCCCAGCCATCCTGGTCTCCTCTGGGCTCCTGGACCACAAGGGCGCCACACTCTTCTCCCTCGGGCATTTGCGCTGTCCTGGCCTCTGCTGCCCTACAGGTCTTCGCTTGGCGGGCTCCTGCGTGCTATTTAGGGTTCAGGGCAAATGTTACCTCCTCAAAATGGACTTGCTTCAAGACGTAGCACGCCCACCCCTGACTCAATGCTAGCCCATCACCCTGGGTGTTGTCTTCAGAGCACTGACTCCTCTCTGAAATAAACTTGCACCTTTTCCCTGCCCCTCTCTCTCTCTTTTCTAATTAGCATATGGGCTCTGGGAGAGGAGGGCATTGTCTTTTCTGTGCTATACCCCAGTGCCTAGAACTACCCATGGCACAAACTTGGTGCTCAGCAAGTATTTGCTGGATAAGTGAATGAATGATTGCACAAATGAGTAATGCACTCCTTTCCCCATAATTCTGGTTTTCCTGACACCGACGAACTTAGGAAATAATATTCTCTTCAAGGATATTATTTCTACATGTCTTAGCTCTGCCAAGGACAATTGCCTCTCTGGAGAGCGGAATGGTTGGCATATGGCTGGAGTGTGATTGGGTGGACTGTAGGTATGTGCTAAGAATATTCCTTATAGCGCATGTGCCCTGCGCACGGGACTTAATGCTTTTCCATTTTCGGCTAAGTGGCTACACAGCAAATGTTTTTAATCATATCCAGGTTTGCATGAAATTTCGTGGCAAGATATAATTTAAAGAACTATGGATTTTTAATTTAAATATTACATTAAAACATATTGTTATTTCTAGATATATTTTGAAGATTTAAATGAATCAACATAGAGTTTTTTCTTGCAATTCTCTATTCATATAGAATATGAATTCTCACTTTCTATTATAAGAGAAGTAAAACTGTAGTCCAAAGTTTAATCTCCCTTTGAAATAGAATAAGCTATTCTCCTGATAGCAATGAACATGGCAGGAAGTCCCTAAAGGTTTATGTGCATGCCTATGAGTTTATATATGTATATATATATAATATATATACACACACATATATAAATAGATAAATATATATATACACACATATATATATATGATTTCTTGACTTTTTTTCTCCTTTCTATCTCTTTGTGTTAGAAAAAATTTAGAAAACAAAAATGAAAAAACCATCAAACAAAAAATTTTTTAGCTCAGGGTAAATAAACAGAGGAGATATATCATCCTGGGCTACCTTTAATAAGCTTAAATATAGTTTTCATGCAACTTAGATATTCGGACACAAGGGTATACATCAGGAATCGGTGAGCTCAAATTCCAATTTTTAATACTACTGTCCTCTTCAGTCCTAAACAGGCCGGTAGCCACTCAGTGTCCAGTTTCCCATGTGTTAAATAGGAATTATTTTAGGAAGATTAGTGAAAGTGTCATGAAATTGACCTTCTGAAAAGAGTTATAGATTCCACAAACATCAAAGTCAACCAAATAAAAACAAGCACCAGACTTCAAATTTATTCCACCAACTACTTCCTATCTAAATTCTTCAACAGGTAAAATAGAAAACATTTCTTCCAACCAGTCCACACCCCCTGGGATTGGCGTCTGTCTCCATATTCAAGATTAGTAATAAAGATGCTTCACTGCAAGTTTGCATTTTCTGGCGAGGTTGTCAGTGATTCGTGCTTGAGGCAGAAGGAAACCAGTTTGATTCTAACTTAGGCATTTTGGCAAAGAAAGAGGGAAACTTTGCTTTTCTCAACTAAGCTAGAAATGACTCAGACTACAAATAGCTACTCTACCATACAACAAAAGGTCACTGGCTCCCTCTCATTTTTCCTTTTGGTATTGTCCTGAACGAGGGCCAGATTTCCCCCTTCCCTTCATCATCTCAAAATGCAAAGCCTTCTTTCTGTGGTGCATTCTAGTTCCTGTGTGACCCAGGCTGAGACAGTGTTATGCAGATTGGTGCATCTTAAACAGACCACAATTGAAGCAGTCTTGCCTCATTTGTCCTATGTAACATGAGGCATTGAATGGTAAATGAAAGAAACCAGTGTCCCTTAACATTGAGCCTCCTTACACATCTTAAAGACCTTGCGTAGAAGGGTGCAGTGCAACTCTTAGGGGAATAATTATCAAAGAAGAAAGACATTTTCAGAAACCATTTGCTTACTAAAGAATGGGACTTGTTGGAGAATATCTTGTGTGTCTGAACTTGAGAGAGAATGATGTTTCAGTCTTGTTATGGGGCATGGCTGGTGGAGTCATCAGCAAGAAAACCAGACTCCCACTGGGAGAGCATGCACTGCTAAGTGTGTGGGCAACAGTGGGCCCAGCCCAGGGTCCTGCCATCTATTACAGGAGGCTTCCTTCTCCCTCAGCTTAACATCCCCCGGCTCTCCCAGGACAAGATTTGGACTGAACGCCTGTGTTGGCCTAATAAATATGTACTGGGACTGTTTTCTTCCATGCAATACACACAGGATGCGACACCAGTCTCCTGGTTTAGGGGGA